ATCATCTATCCATCTATATATAGATATATCTATCTATCTATCCATCTATCTATCTATCTATCTTCCATCCATCAATCCATCTATCCTCTATCCATCTATCCATCTATCTATCTTAATCTATCCTCCATCTATCCATCTATTACCATCCTATCTATCCATCTATCCATCCATCTATCTATCACATCTAATCCATTCTATCCATCTATCCATCTATCCATCTATCCATCTATCCATCTAATCCATTATCCTCTATCTATCCATCTATCCATCCATCTATCCATCTATCTATCTATCCATCTATATATATATCTATCTATCCATCCATCTATCCATCTATCCATCTATCCATCTATCCATCTATCTATCTATCCATCCATATATCCATCCATCTATCTATCTATCTATCCATCCATCTATCCATCTATCTATCCATCTATCTATCTTCTTGTCCATGATAAAGACAAGGAGTCTAACCTCGTTGAGGATCTTGAAGGACTCCTTCATGGCTTTGTTGATCTTCGCCTCTCCTTTGACGTGCAGCTCGTCCACCAGCTGCTTGAAGTGCTGACAGAGAAACGCACATTTATTACATCGTTAGAGTCTATTGTGAAGACGGTGTGTTTGTCCAGGTTTCAGGATAATCACTATCTGAAAGTGTTTCTGCACAAACACATGATGGTGGTGAATGGAATGGATCACTTTGTGGTTCAAAAAGCACTGAAAATATATCATTTGAGACCTTTTCTACTTTTCTACACAACATATCACAGAGGACTGTTTTCAATACTTTTAAGCCACTTCGTTTTTGGACAGCTTTAGTTACTACTTGATGAACCAATGATGAACCTGTTAACATGGTGTTTATTTGTAGGCCTTAATTGTGTCTGGTTAGTCGTGTCTTGGGCTCTTATTGTGAAAGGTAAGATTGAAAGGAATGTTTTTGGTATTGTAATATTGTAAGTATTCATGACAAAAAGAGTAGAAAAGCAATACAATAAAAATAGAAAAACGTGTGTGTGTGTGTGTGTGTGTGTGTGTGTGTGTGTGTGTGTGTGTGTGTGTGTGTTACCTCTCTGTTGTCCAGGTCAGCCTGCACCAGGGTTCCTTTGAAGCACGGCTCCACGTAACGAATGTAATCTGTGTACTGAAGAGAGGAGGTCACCGGTTCAATTCCCACCAAACAATATACTGTCAGTGCAAAGGAACTAAATACATGTATTCAAGTGCTTTACCTCTTAGACCCCACAGACCCTTCGGCGGGTCCGAAACCACAACATCTGCAAGCAACAGCGTCTGAGGGCTTCTTAAGATGTCATAAACTATGAATGTTTCATATCCATGTAACGGGAAGAAACTCAGCTAACTGATGATTTCTTTTTTTTTTTGCAAAAAAAAAACACAAGGCTAACGCTGAGCCTCTGAATTAGCCCTGTGCGAAAAAATCTTAAGGCCGTTAGCACAGCACTCTAGCTATACTGATCAATAAACTTATTGGATCTGCACAAACAAGCTTAGATAACATCCTGAGAGTCCACAGATTATAGAAATATAAGGATCATCACTGAGCGATCAGAACTCGTGACAGGGGAAGCAAATACAGACAACACACGACGTAGCTTTAGGTAGCAAAACACGAGACATGCTCACCTTAGCTGTTATTCTGATCAAAAGTCGTGTTCAATGGCATTAAAACGAGAAAAAACGCGGCTGAAGGTTAATCCATAGGTTATAGCAATGTGTCGGTCACTTTGAAAAAATTATTGATAATCCATAATTAAATTTGTATGCAAAAATCGGAGAATAAAAATGTGCTGCTAATGGTAGCCACCAGAGTGTGTTGCAGCTCCGGTTTTGGCTAAGCGTCACTCTAACTCCTTATTTGGTAACCTGTGTGCGTATGTGGAACTTTCCCTCGATTCCATTGGCTCTAGCGGTTAAAAAGAGATGTCAATCATCAAAATCGACCAATGGGTTCCAGAGAAATGGCAAAAAAAAACATTTCCACCCAAATCACCTCAGAGGTGGAGTTTATTTTGCTAAACCTCTCTAAAAAGGTCAAATGTCAATCTTGATACAGGGTACTTATTATATGTTGTACTTTGGATTCCTAAAGCTTTTAGTCTACCAAGGGTAGTTTTCACTGTAAGTAAAAAAGAATCTTTGGACGGACACTATAATTGACAGTTTTATACTATGTTCAATCTGAATTTTCTTTAAAATAAAAACATCTATATTGATTCTGACTTTTCTACATCCAACTCACAGGTTTATCATAACTTTGAGAACAAAGATTATTAATGTAACCCTTTTAGAAGAGAAGATATGGTCATTTGTTCTGGGAATGTCCTTTTCGAGCCTGAGACCTGAAAAACAGGCTCAGGGCTTAACAGGTTAAGTCCAAGGGAGGTACTTGGACTTAACTATTCATGAAGATGAATTATTCTACTCCACTGCATCTGACAGCTTGAGTAACTTTACAAATTAAGATGTATTTTGCCAACAAAAACTGATGAAGCGATTATTCCATACCGCTTCAGATCAGTAAGTAAGTCAAATGTATTTATAAAGCGCTTTTCACAGACATAGTCACAAAGAGCTCGACAGAAGATTAAAACATCATAGGAATTATAAAGGAATAAATGACCACACAAGCCACGTGTTAAGAAGTGCTAAAAACACAATACACAATACAAACACAATACAATAGAATAAAATAAAAGCACACATAGCTGCTTGTCCTTTAATTAATGTCAATAATGTTGGTAATTATGTACTGTAGAGGTTTGAGTTACGTTAAACATTTACATTAAATAGTATATACAGTATGTTCTGGTTTGAATGATTTAAAAAATGTATTAGTTAAAATCTTTCGACATCTTTTTTTACAATTAAAGGTATGAACATTTGGAAAAATCATCAGTTTAATCCATATATAAACAAAATTAACACACAACGGATCAAATGTGTGTGTGTGTGTGTGTGTGTGTGTGTGTGTGTGTGTGTGTGTGTGTGTGTGTGTGTATGTGTGTGTGTGTCTCACAGCGATCACGTTGACGAAGTCGTTCTCCCCCAGTGTGTCCAGGATTGTGTTGATGGTGTGTTTGGCAATGGTCATCTTCAGACCCTTCATGCTGCCGCTGATGTCCACCATGATGACGATGTCTTTGGGGGAGGTGGCGGCCTGGATGTACCTGAACGCACCATGAGAGGGGACTCATTAATAATCGGATGTACTTGAACGCACCGTCACAGAACACCTATTACTTCCTGAATACCTGAATGCACCATACTTATTACTGACACAAGAGGAGATTGAGTATTATGTCTGTGTTCCTGAACACATCACCACCGAATACTGATTATTGCACGGATCTCCCTGAATGCACCACCACCAAAGAAAAGTTATTATTGCTTGAATGTCCCTGAATGCACCACTAGACTACAATGGATACAATATAAAATATAAACAGAGGATACTAAACTAGTACAATTAAAATATGAAAATAGGTTACGCATTTTGAATAACTTATTTATTGACTTCAAATCTCTGAAATGTGATTTTAATATTCTGATTTTAATTAAAGAAATCAGTTTTATTGGACTTCATGTTAATGTTTATTGAATGCACCAAACACCATTAAAATCCTTAGTTATTGACAGAGATGGTTCCAGTAAACACATCCTTTCCTCAAGTAGAAGTACAGATACTCGTGTTTAAAAATACTCTGGTAAAAGTAGAAGTACTGACTAAACTTCTTTACTCAAGTAAAAGTAAAGAGGCTTTGAAATGTACTTCAGTAAAAAGTACCCATAACTAGCAGCTGTTTTAAAGAGTACCTGACCTCCCTTTATATTAATAGAACAATAATGTCATTGTTAGCTAATGAATGTTTCCATGCTGAACAACGGCAACATGACAACGTTTCCATTGGTCCCTCTTCTTTAGAGAAGACCAGGAAATGATGGATACACGGATCGTGTTCAAATCAATAGGCACGCAATGACTCTAAAGAATAATGATCACGCATCAAACACACATTCAGACTAAAGGAACCAGCTGTTTGGAAAATGAGAGAAGTAGAAAGTACAGGTATTTGAGTTCAACATGTAAGAAGTAGAAAGTAAGGTATTAGTAAGAAGTAGAAGTACAGGTATTTGAGTTCAACATGTAAGAAGTAGAAAGTACAGGTATTTGAGTTCAACATGTAAGAAGTAGAAAGTACAGGTATTTGTGTTCAACATGTAAGAAGTAGAAAGTACAGGTATTTGAGTTCAACATGTAAGAAGTAGAAAGTTCAGGTATTTGTGTTCAACATGTAAGAAGTAGAAAGTACAGGTATTTGAGTTCAACATGTAAGAAGTAGAAAGTACAGGTATTTGAGTTCAACATGTAAGAAGTAGAAAGTACAGGTATTTGAGTTCAACATGTAAGAAGTAGAAAGTACAGGTATTTGAGTTCAACATGTAAGAAGTAGAAAGTACAGGTATTTGAGTTCAACATGTAAGAAGTAGAAAGTACAGGTATTTGAGTTCAACATGTAAGAAGTAGAAAGTACAGGTATTTGAGTTCAACATGTAAGAAGTAGAAAGTACAGGTATTTGAGTTCAACATGTAAGAAGTAGAAAGTACAGGTATTTGAGTTCAACATGTAAGAAGTAGAAAGTACAGGTATTTGAGTTCAACATGTAAGAAGTAGAAAAGTACAGGTATTTGAGTTCAACATGTAAGAAGTAGAAAGTACAGGTATTTGTGTTCAACATGTAAGAAGTAGAAAGTACAGGTATTTGAGTTCAACATGTAAGAAGTAGAAAGTTCAGGTATTTGTGTTCAACATGTAAGAAGTAGAAAGTACAGGTATTTGAGTTCAACATGTAAGAAGTAGAAAGTACAGGTATTTGAGTTCAACATGTAAGAAGTAGAAAGTACAGGTATTTGAGTTCAACATGTAAGAAGTAGAAAGTACAGGTATTTGAGTTCAACATGTAAGAAGTAGAAAGTACAGGTATTTGAGTTCAACATGTAAGAAGTAGAAAGTACAGGTATTTGAGTTCAACATGTAAGAAGTAGAAAGTACAGGTATTTGTGTTCAACATGTAAGAAGTAGAAAGTACAGGTATTTGAGTTCAACATGTAAGAAGTAGAAAGTACAGGTATTTGTGTTCAACATGTAAGAAGTAGAAAGTACAGGTATTTGAGTTCAACATGTAAGAAGTAGAAAGTACAGGTATTTGAGTTCAACATGTAAGAAGTAGAAAGTACAGGTATTTGAGTTCAACATGTAAGAAGTAGAAAGTACAGGTATTTGAGTTCAACATGTAAGAAGTAGAAAGTACAGGTATTTGAGTTCAACATGTGAGAAGTAGAAAGTACAGGTATTTGAGTTCAACATGTGAGAAGTAGAAAGTACAGGTATTTGGGTTCAACATGTGAGAAGTAGAAAGTACAGGTATTTGGGTTCAACATGTAAGAAGTAGAAAGTACAGGTATTTGGGTTCAACATGTGAGAAGTAGAAAGTACAGGTATTTGTGTTCAACATGTGAGAAGTAGAAAGTACAGGTATTTGTGTTCAACATGTAAGAAGTAGAAAGTACAGGTATTTGTGTTCAACATGTAAGAAGTAGAAAGTACAGGTATTTGGGTTCAACATGTAAGAAGTAGAAAGTACAGGTATTTGTGTTCAACATGTGAGAAGTAGAAAGTACAGGTATTTGTGTTCAACATGTGAGAAGTAGAAAGTACAGGTATTTGGGTTCAACATGTAAGAAGTAGAAAGTACAGGTATTTGTGTTCAACATGTAAGAAGTAGAAAGTTCAGGTATTTGGGTTCAACATGTAAGAAGTAGAAAGTACAGGTATTTGTGTTCAACATGTAAGAAGTAGAAAGTACAGGTATTTGGGTTCAACATGTAAGAAGTAGAAAGTACAGGTATTTGTGTTCAACATGTAAGAAGTAGAAAGTACAGGTATTTAGGTTCAACATGTAAGAAGTAGAAAGTTCAGGTATTTGGGTTCAACATGTAAGAAGTAGAAAGTACAGGTATTTGTGTTCAACATGTAAGAAGTAGAAAGTTCAGGTATTTGGGTTCAACATGTAAGAAGTAGAAAGTACAGGTATTTGTGTTCAACATGTAAGAAGTAGAAAGTACAGGTATTTGGGTTCAACATGTAAGAAGTAGAAAGTACAGGTATTTGGGTTCAACATGTAAGAAGTAGAAAGTACAGGTATTTAGGTTCAACATGTAAGAAGTAGAAAGTACAGGTATTTGTGTTCAACATGTAAGAAGTAGAAAGTTCAGGTATTTGGGTTCAACATGTAAGAAGTAGAAAGTACAGGTATTTAGGTTCAACATGTAAGAAGTAGAAAGTTCAGGTATTTGGGTTCAACATGTAAGAAGTAGAAAGTACAGGTATTTGTGTTCAACATGTAAGAAGTAGAAAGTTCAGGTATTTGGGTTCAACATGTAAGAAGTAGAAAGTACAGGTATTTGTGTTCAACATGTAAGAAGTAGAAAGTTCAGGTATTTGGGTTCAACATGTAAGAAGTAGAAAGTACAGGTATTTGTGTTCAACATGTAAGAAGTAGAAAGTTCAGGTATTTAGGTTCAACATGTAAGAAGTAGAAAGTTCAGGTATTTGTGTTCAACATGTAAGAAGTAGAAAGTTCAGGTATTTGAGTTCAACATGTAAGAAGTAGAAAGTACAGGTATTTAGGTTCAACATGTAAGAAGTAGAAAGTTCAGGTATTTGTGTTCAACATGTAAGAAGTAGAAAGTACAGGTATTTGTGTTCAACATGTAAGAAGTAGAAAGTTCAGGTATTTGAGTTCAACATGTAAGAAGTAGAAAGTACAGGTATTTGTGTTCAACATGTAAGAAGTAGAAAGTACAGGTATTTGGGTTCAACATGTAAGAAGTAGAAAGTTCAGGTATTTGTGTTCAACATGTAAGAAGTAGAAAGTACAGGTATTTGTGTTCAACATGTAAGAAGTAGAAAGTACAGGTATTTGTGTTCAACATGTAAGAAGTAGAAAGTACAGGTATTTGGGTTCAACATGTAAGAAGTAGAAAGTACAGGTATTTGTGTTCAACATGTAAGAAGTAGAAAGTACAGGTATTTGAGTTCAACATGTAAGAAGTAGAAAGTACAGGTATTTGTGTTCAACATGTGAGAAGTAGAAAGTACAGGTATTTGGGTTCAACATGTAAGAAGTAGAAAGTTCAGGTATTTGAGTTCAACATGTAATAAGTAGAAAGTACAGGTATTTGGGTTCAACATGTAAGAAGTAGAAAGTACAGGTATTTGGGTTCAACATGTAAGAAGTAGAAAGTTCAGGTATTTGAGTTCAACATGTGAGAAGTAGAAAGTACAGGTATTTGAGTTCAACATGTAAGAAGTAGAAAGTACAGGTATTTGGGTTCAACATGTAAGAAGTAGAAAGTACAGGTATTTGAGTTCAACATGTAAGAAGTAGAAAGTACAGGTATTTGAGTTCAACATGTGAGAAGTAGAAAGTACAGGTATTTGAGTTCAACATGTAAGAAGTAGAAAGTACAGGTATTTGAGTTCAACATGTAAGAAGTAGAAAGTGGTCAGAAAAATAAGTAGTAGAGTACTGATACCAGAAAAATGTACTTAAGTACAGTAACAAAGTATTTGTACTCCACTACTTCCCAGTTCTGGTTATTGACTATCCTGCTTTGATGTTTACATAATTCTGATTATTGATATGAATGAATAAATGCGTGCAGCTGCAGCACCGCGAGGCGTTCAGGGATATATGCAGCGCTCTGGTATTATTTGAAAGGCATGAACAGTCGCATATGGTGCCATGTGTGCAGCAGTGAGCCGCTAAGGAGAAGATTATCGTCTTTCAGAGGATCAGGACACACACACACACACACACACACACACACACACACACACACACACACACACACACACACACACACACACACACACACACACACACACACACACACACACACACACACACACACACACACACACACACACACACACACACACACACACACACACACACACACACACTTTGGCTTCTGTGTGTGTGTATTCTAATTGTTTCTCTTGTATTCTAAAAATAGACACACTTTAGAGCAGAATTAAGCGTCAGTTTAGTGAAGGTTTTTAACCTTTGTGCCTCATTAAGGGCATTATTGACTTATTTGTGTCAATGTTTTTGCATAGGCATTCACTTGGCAAGAGTTTAAATAATTTAAATAATGTCCTACTTTGGAAATTGGGCATCAGCTTCTATTATAAGTCTATCAGGAATTGAGTATCCAAAGTACAAGACAGTCAGAGAGTTAAAGAGGTCATATTCTGCTAATTTCTCAGGTTCAAAGTAGTATGTAGTGTCTCTACTTTAAAGAGTCCTCTCCTGCTGATGGTCAGGTGTATATCAGTATGTAGTGTCTCTACTTTAAAGAGTCCTCTCCTGCTGATGTTCAGGTGTATATCAGTATGTAGTGTCTCTACTTTAAAGAGTCCTCTCCTGCTGATGTTCAGGTGTATATCAGTATGTAGAGTCTCTACTTTAAAGAGTCCTCTCCTGCTGATGTTCAGGTGTATATCATTATGTAGTGTCTCTACTTTAAAGAGTCCTCTCTTGCTGATGTTCAGGTGTATATCAGTATGTAGTGTCTCTACTTTAAAGAGTCCTCTCCTGCTGATGTTCAGGTGTATATCAGTATGTAGAGTCTCTACTTTAAAGAGTCCTCTCCTGCTGATGTTCAGGTGTATATCAGTATGTAGAGTCTCTACTTTAAAGAGTCCTCTCCTGCTGATGTTCAGGTGTATATCAGCATGTAGTGTCTCTACTTTAAAGAGTTCTCTCCTGCTGATGCTCAGGTGTATATCAGTATGTAGTGTCTCTACTTTAAAGAGTTCTCTCCTGCTGATGTTCAGGTGTATATCAGTATGTAGTGTCTCTACTTTAAAGAGTCCTCTCCTGCTGATGTTCAGGTGTATATCAGTATGTAGTGTCTCTACTTTAAAGAGTCCTCTCCTGCTGATGTTCAGGTGTATATCAGTATGTAGTGTCTCTACTTTAAAGAGTTCTCTCCTGCTGATGTTCAGGTGTATATCAGTATGTAGTGTCTCTACTTTAAAGAGTCATCTCCTGCTGATGTTCAGGTGTATATCAGTATGTAGTGTTTTACTTTAAAGAGTCCTCTCCTGCTGATGTTCAGGTGTATATCAGTATGTAGTGTCTCTACTTTAAAGAGTCCTCTCCTGCTGATGTTCAGGTGTATATCAGTATGTAGTGTCTCTACTTTAAAGAGTCCTCTCCTGCTGCTGTTCAGGTGTATATCAGTATGTAGTGCATCTACTTTAAAGAGTCATCTCCTGCTGATGTTCAGGTGTATATCAGTATGTAGTGTTTTACTTTAAAGAGTCCTCTCCTGCTGATGTTCAGGTGTATATCAGTATGTAGTGCATCTACTTTAAAGAGTCATCTCCTGCTGATGTTCAGGTGTATATCAGTATGTAGTGTCTCTACTTTAAAGAGTCCTCTCCTGCTGATGTTCAGGTGTATATCAGTATGTAGTGTCTCTACTTTAAAGAGTCCTCTCCTGCTGATGTTCAGGTGTATATCAGTATGTAGTGTTTCTACTTTAAAGAGTCCTCTCCTGCTGATGTTCAGGTGTATATCAGTATGTAGTGTCTCTACTTTAAAGAGTCCTCTCCTGCTGGTGTTCAGGTGTATATCAGTATGTAGTGTCTCTACTTTAAAGAGTCCTCTCCTGCTGATGTTCAGGTGTATATCAGTATGTAGTGTCTCTGCTTTAAAGAGTCCTCTCCTGCTGATGTTCAGGTGTATATCAGTATGTAGTGTCTCTACTTTAAAGAGTCCTCTCCTGCTGGTGTTCAGGTGTATATCAGTATGTAGTGTCTCTACTTTAAAGAGTCCTCTCCTGCTGATGTTCAGGTGTATATCAGTATGAAGTGTCTCTACTTTAAAGAGTCCTCTCCTGCTGATGTTGGTTAGCTGGCCGGCTCTGTTGTGATTGGTCAACCACTTAGAGATCTCATACAATGTGTTGGAGCACTAGCCTATAGAAGTGCGAGAGTTACATAGTGATGTCACTGTGTTATGGAGTATGAAAGTAGTATGAACTCACCAGTTTCTGTTCCTGCAGTCGAAAGCTGCAACACCGTTAGAGTCTGGAGTCCATTTAATACCTGACAGGTGAGATAAGAGCGTTAAAAACTCCAAGTAACTAATGATACGCTGTAATTGGTTAATGCACAGAAAGGAAGCACCATCATAAACACAAGAAAAAAGGGACAGATTTCTCACTTTTGGTTTTAACTTTTCTTTCCAAGGAGATTTGGGGTGCAGATATTATATATTTAGTGTATGCTTAATCAGTTATTTAATTAACATTTTGAAACATATGTGTTTCTGTAAACTGACCGGGAAAGATCCGGAAGAACCCGGTGGAGCTGCCGAAGAACTGCCAGGTGAGCGTGGAATCTTTCTGGAAGTTTCCGATAAAAACATCGTTCAGCGCCTCCGAGTTATAGATCGAATTCAGGATGTTCGGATCTGCAGGAACAAGGACAGAAACACATCTTAAAAAATAACCTTTATAGAGATCTACTGCACCACTGCATACTTTATACACGAGGGCAAAGTCGTTGCATTTCTTATTTTAAACAACATGTTAAATTCAATGTGGTGCATGTGCACAATGTGCAGGGTTATTGATAGTCGTGGAATGAAACTAAGGGGGCGGGATATCTGTAAGCAGGTTGACCAATCACAACAGAGCCAGCCAGCTAACCAATCAGAGCAGACTGGGCTCTGGTTTCAGACAGAGGGTGAAAAGAGGTGCTGCAGCACAGTATGAGAACAATGAAGAGCTTTTTGAACATTAAAGCATGGAGACATGTAGAGCAGTGGTTCTCAAACTTTTTCTGTCATCCCCCGCTTTGAACAGGTGGGCCTTTTCAAGCCCCACCTGTTCCTCATCGCTCCAATAAAATGGTAGGCCAAGCTTAAAATTGTCAAATGTATCGTTCTATAACAGGGTCTCCAACCTTTTTTAGGATGAGGGCTACTTTCAAAAAATAAAACAAGTCGTGAGCTACTTTTACTCCTCTTTTTAGTTTTTTTTGCAGTGTATATATTTAGCACATTTTAACATTATTATATGCTGACCTTTAACCTTTGTGTGCTGTTTGGGTCTGTGGGACCCGTTTCCAGTGTTTACTAAAATAAAATATATGCAATTTAATTATTTTAACCTGCTTTATTTGGTGGTGGACGTCACATCCTCTAGGGGGGTCCGGGGGCATGCACCCCCAGGAAGATTTTTTTTAAATGTTGAAGTTAAATGCATCAATCTGGTGCACTTTGAGCTAGGGCTGCTCAATTAAATCGTATTTTAATCGCAATTACGATTTTGGCTTGCAACGATTATGAAAACAACATAATCGAAATAAAACGATTTTATTTTTTTTAAATAGGTTTTTCAGTTGAATTATACTTAAAGTTCAGGGTAATCAACTGTTAAAAACATACTTTTCAAATGATTTTCTTCAATAAATTGATGTTTTCAAAGTAAATGGTTGATCGTTTTTTTAAATCGTGATATCAATTATTGACCCAAATAATCGAGATTATGATTTTTGCCATAATCGAGCAGCCCTACTTTGAGCCCAACATGAATTTATGGATACAGCTCTCAACACTCAGATGAAAGGGAGCTGTATACTTTTCAATAATCCAAACATCTTTAGAATACGATCTCAACAAATCATTTTAAACTTGTTTATTCTTATCTTATGTTACCTAGTTAGCATTCTTTCTTTTTATTTATGCATATTTGACTAATCCCTCCCCTTTTAAACTTGTTACTGTCCTATAGTACACATTGGAATGATTTCTTACTTTATTTTTTACAACTTTATTAAATAGATAAAGGTGTGCTCTCTCTCTCTCTCTCTCTCTCTCTCTCTCTCTCTCTCTCTCTCTCTCTCTCTCTCTCTCTCTCTCTCTCTCTCTCTCTCTCTCTCTCTCTCTCTCTCTCTCTCTCTCTCTCTCTCTCTCTCTCGCTCCACATTGCTTTTCTTCCCGACTGCAACGCTGTTGTGTGTGTCTGTGAGAGCGTTTCACATGTGTGTATGAGAGATGTTTACCAGTGGCGAGCCTATCTCTGAGGGCCTAAGATATTCTACAAAATAATATTATAAAACATTAAAAATATATATTTGTTTCTTTATATATCTTTTTTAAATATGTTTTTAGTAATATTTGTCATTAGTTTTACAAATAATAACTTGATTAAATTGTATTTAAAATAACATTTCCAAAGAAATAAATCCTTTGAATCTGCCTATTCAGTTTCTGTTTGAATGTGAAGGGTTAAATGAAAGAAGCTCGTCTCTGCGAGGTGAAGACAGGAGCTGATTGGACGTCCAGCTGTGAATTTACAGAGGGCCAGCTATAGTAACTGAAGAGAGAGTAATGTCAAATGACAGTACAATTGACCAATCATATCTTGCCTCTAAATGGGTGGGCTTTATTATCGCGGACTTTATGACAGATTCCGCCCGCTGTGAAACGTTTCTTGTTTCCATAGCAACAACTGTCAACAGCGTAAACTCGCCTTCAAAATAAAAGCATGCCAAATTACACTTAAGACATACAACTGCAACGAAAGTAACAAACACAATGCAATATCCTTTTCAATTTCAAAGAACACAAATTGGGTTATCTACAGGTGTTGTTTTGTGTGTTAGAGGGTCGCTGTCATTGATGCGTTTTGCACCCCGGGCCGTTGTTTTGATATTCCACCAGTGTGAAAAAAAAAATAAGAATTTTATTTTATTTAAATAAAAATTATTTTTTTATTTTGTATTTCGTGACCCACCTATCACATCTCTGCGCCCCACCAGTGGGGCGCGCCCCACACTTTGAGAAACGCTGCAGTAGAGACACTACATACTGATATACATCTGAACATCAGCAGGAGAGGACTCTTTAAAGTAGAGACACTACATATTGATATACACCTGAACATCAGCAGGAGAGGACTCTTTAAAGTAGAGACACTACATACTGATATACACTACACCTGAACATCATCAGGAGAGGACTCTTTAAAGTAGAGACACTACATACTGATATACACCTGAACATCAGCAGGAGAGGACTCTTTAAAGTAGAGACACTACATACTGATATACACCTGAACATCAGCAGGAGAGGACTCTTTAAAGTAGAGACACTACATACTGATATACACCTGAACATCAGCAGGAGAGGACTCTTTAAAGTAGAGACACTACATACTGATATACACCTGAACATCAGCAGGAGAGGACTCTTTAAAGTAGAGACACTACATACTGATATACACCTGAACATCAGCAGGAGAGGACTCTTTAAAGTAGAGACACTACATACTGATATACACCTGAACATCAGCAGGAGAGGACTCTTTAAAATAGAGACACTACATACTGATATACACCTGAACATCAGCAGGAGAGGACTCTTTAAAGTAGAGACACTACATACTGATATACACCTGAACATCAGCAGGAGAGGACTCTTTAAAGTAGAGACACTACATACTGATATACACCTGAACATCAGCAGGAGAGGACTCTTTAAAGTAGAGACACTACATACTGATATACACCTGAACATCAGCAGGAGAGGACTCTTTAAAATAGAGACACTACATACTGATATACACCTGAACATCAGCAGGAGACGACTCTTTAAAGTAGAGACACTACATACTGATATACACCTGAACATCAGCAGGAGAGGACTCTTTAAAGTAGAGACACTACATACTGATATACACCTGAACATCAGCAGGAGGGGACTCTTTAAAGTAGAGACACTACATACTGATATACACTCTGAACATCAGCAGGAGAGGACTCTTTAAAGTAGAGACACTACATACTGATATACACCTGAACATCAGCAGGAGGGGACTCTTTAAAGTAGAGACACTACATACTGATATACACCTGAACATCAGCAGGAGAGGACTCTTTAAAGTAGAGACACTACATACTGATATACACCTGAACATCAGCAGGAGAGGACTCTTTAAAGTAGAGACACTACATACTGATATACACCTGAACATCAGCAGGAGAGGACTCTTTAAAGTAGAGACACTACATACTAATATACACCTGAACATCAGCAGGAGAGGAGGACTCTTTAAAGTAGAGACACTACATACTGATATACACCTGAACATCAGCAGGAGAGGACTCTTTAAAGTAGAAACACTACATACTGATATACACCTGAACATCAGCAGGAGAGGACTCTTTAAAGTAGAAACACTACATACTGATATACACCTGAACATCAGCAGGAGAGGACTCTTTAAAGTAGAGACACTACATACTGATATACACCTGAACATCAGCAGGAGAGGACTCTTTAAAGTAGAAACACTACATACTGATATACACCTGAACATTATATGTATGTTCAGACACACAGGTTGACCTCTGACCTTTGTTGAAGACGTTGGTTGGAACCTGGATGTCGCTCAGCAACATGTTGACACGCAGGTTGTTGAAGTGCTCGTTTTCCTCCAGAGGAAACTCAGCGCCCATATCTGGACTGTTTCCGTCCTCGTCCACTGAGTTTATTAGCATCGAATTGTAGTAATCAAACTGAGGGGAGACAGGAAGTGGGACAGCCTTTCAGAATAAAACTTAAATTGTATTGTTTTCTATAGATATGTTTCTTAATGCTTGCTCTAATATGAATTATCTCTTAGTATGTTCGTTGTTATGCCTTCATGTCAGTCTTAGTCTCAAATGTCTTTATGTGAAATTGGTTGAAAAACCTGTTTACATGTTCCTTGTTCAGAGATGTGTTGGTTGTTCAGTTTTCTAACAAACCAATCAAACAGGACTAGAAGGCCATAATGTGTATTGTTTGTATACGTCGATATGTTCGGTTGTTCCCCCGCTGCAGTGTGACCTGGTTTCCTCTCAGGATCAGAGGAGGATCTAATTCCAGGTGTCAGCTGAGGCTTTAAATCTGCTCCACCTCTGATCTAAACGCCGTTAGCATGCATGCTAACATTAGCACTGAGTTTAAAGCAGCTGAGACGAGCAAACGACAGATTAGAGGCGTCAGACGGCACAGGGATTATCTGAGGATAAACACAGAACTGCAGAGCTTCATTCATAAAGTCCACCACAGATCTATAAATAAATATATGTTCTGTGTTTATTCTTGGGTTAGGGTTAGGGTTAGGGTTAGAGATTTAAACAGCTCCAAAATGCTCAATATGTTTTTGTGTGACCAAATATTCTGCTTTAATCCATATTTAGTCCAACACAGAAATACACAGCATGTTAAAGGTGGGGTAGGTAATTCACTTCAGAAACACTTGTTATATTCCATGGAATGCTCTTAACATCCCGATAGCAATGAATATCTTAAATGCTTTGACAATAAATCCATAAAAAATGTTTATCTGTGGAAGCCGTAGCGCTGTAAAAAGCACGACCAATCATCTGAGCCGGCTAAAGTAACTGGACGGCCTACCTGCCTGTCAGCCTACCTGCCTGTCACAAATTGATCTCGTGCCCTCATTGGTCATGAGCGCGTTCGTGTGTTGGAGGAGGGGCTCTGTGAGGAAGTCTGAAGGAAGTGGCAGATTTCTTCCGGTTGTGTATTTTAAAATTCTAGCGCACTCGAGCTGGTTTCTCCATTCTTACCTACCCCACCTTTAACGAGGGGTTTATAATGCATTTACAGTAAAATACCACTTTTTAGGGGTATTGTACTGGATATGCAGCCTTTTACAAAGAACATCACAGATTAGAGGCTCCTTTCACTTGAATATATTCAGCTCTTAAAACATATTTATCTATAGATGTAATTATGTTTAAATTCACAATGTGTTTTCTTTCTAACCAAAGAATCAGTTTTAATACATATATTTTTTTAGCTTCAAAAACTACATTTTCAATGCAATCAAAAGAGAGTTACTCTTAAGCTTTCTGCTGAAACCAAAATGAGGCACACATATGCATTCATTAAAGCAATTACAATGACATGTATATAAACAGAATGAGACCAAATCTGTGTCGGCTCTGACACTTTACACTAAAATGGTTCCATAAATAAGGATTATAGTTTTTATTTCCATTTGTTTGGAGCTCCATCAAGACTTTATTATGTCAACTAACACTGTAAAAGGACAAAAGCAAGCATTCAAAGTTGATTTAATAAATAAAAAATACGTTATTATCAATGCTTTATTTAAATTTGACGATTCAATGGTCCTCCTATTGTGTTCGTTTCCCCCCTTACTTTGGTGTTCGCGGTCACATTTGACCGGTCCTGTTTGAACTGCTATTACATTAAGACAACAACATTAATCTTCACCACATGTCATTTAACACCCTTTCAAACTGTATTGTATCAGACTACTGGTATACATGAAACACTGCAGTGAATATACAAAGAACAGACACTGAACATGTATTGCGTGTGCCAGGTGTGATCCATGTGGGGGGAGGGGCACATAAGAGCGGGAAATGTGTCAAATTGTTCTGTGTGTGTATGTGTCTCTGTGTGTGTGTGTGTGTGTGTGTGTCTGTGTGTGTGTGTGTGTGTGTGTGTGTGTATGTGTGTGTGTGTTTGATCTGATCTGGATGGTTACTAATTCCTTTTCTTTATGGCGGTCACAGGAACACCATGGGTGTTACAAAGTTGACTAAATCATCCAAAATTAAATTCTTCTTCTTCGAGTCCGTAGCAATCTCAGATGTCGTTCTGCCAGTATCGGGCACAGGCCACAGCTGATGGGGTAGGTTCTGCCAGGTCTTCTGGACTGCACCGGGGGGCATCGGCACATTCCAGTAGGTCTGCACTGATCCACAGCTGCACGTGTCTTCTGTGGTGTAGTTCCACACTTTCATCAGCTTTGCACCTCCCCTGTTCCACACGCAGTCTGTTAAGTGACTTCCAGGTTGTCCAGCCAAGGTCGTGGCCACTAGCGAGGCTTTCCGTTGGTGTGATTCCTCTGTCCAGCCATTCAAGAGCTCGTGTGTCATTCCTTTGCCATTCATCTTCCCAGATGTTGGTCCTTGCTGCTTGTTTGGTTGTCTGGAGGGGCAGGACTGTCTGCAGAAAACTGGCTCTGGATCGGAGCCTGCGTGGGGGTGCTACGTGGCCATGCAAGGGGTTTCTGATGTCTGTCTCCTGTGTTCTCCGTTCATCTTGAGCGATACCTAGTCGTCTGATGTGCGGGGGAGAGATGCCGGCTAGCGCATAGAGGCACAGGACAGGTGTTGTCTTAACTCATCCCGCGATGATGCGGCAGGTGTCATTCAAGGCTGTGTCGACCAGTTTAGGTCCAAAATTCAATGCAAGTGGTGATCAGCAATGTTACATGTTCAAATGTCTACTGTGAAGGATATCATGAAGCCTCAATGCTATCGAATGTAAAACAAAAAAGTTATGATTGATGAAAGTAGTAAATCGGTCAGATTTGACCCGAAGACAACAGGAGGGTTAAAGAGTATATCTTTGTGCGGCGAGGATGTAAACAAGATATGACAAAAGATATTATTAAGATTTAAATCTATAAAAAAGAAAGTGAATGTCCTGTAGGTTCACCAAATGTTTGCATGTGTTTAGTGCGCTTAGAGAAATACAAATACGTATAAAAACAGAGCACCCACCTGTAATGTGGCGTTGAACTCGTGGTAGAGGTCAGCGTCCTCTGCAGACTCCGCTAACCTCTGACACAAAAACACACAGTCAGAATGAATACAACGAGAAACACCTGTTATTAAACGTGTTGATTTTAAGGATTGTGAATATGTATTAAAAAAGTAATGAAGCAATGTCTCATTAATCAACAAGTGCTGTGACCAAACAAACCTTTAAAAACCGTCTTATTTAAGCGTTTTATATTCAATATTTCTCAAGAACTGTGTATTTTATAACATAATATTATCAGATTCACAATCTAATAATGAGCTGATACTGTCTAAGCTTTCGTCATAACAATTTAAATCTTCACAGTTGATCAGAAATGTGTAAAAGTAGGTAAACCTTAGAAAACTTGAATCTGAGAGGTTTAGTTTTACATCATGGGGGGTCTGTTCTTTCCTCACCTTCACAGACTTCATCTTCTTTCCCAACAAGCGCTCGATCTCGTCGGAGTAATCCTTCACCAGGTCGTTCCCGTTCAGATCCACCATCTTAATGATGGGCTCCACATCCTTCAGTTTCTGACGGGGAGACAAACACAACAACTCTGTGAACATTCACTCTGTGGACAAGTGACGAGTAAAGGGGATGCTACCTTCAGGGTACACTACAAAAATACATTATTTATTGCAAAATTATATCAAAGTGATAATTCCCCCAGAGTCAGACTCAACGCTGAAGTTAATGGAAACATCGAACCCATATGGACCAATTTATAAATATATATATTAGGGCTGTCAAACGATTACAATGTTTAATCAGATTAATCACAGCTTAAAAATTAATTAATCATGATTAATCACCATTCGAACTATGTCCAACATATGCCATTTATTTATGTATATTGTTGTGGGAATGGAAAGATAAATGAAAGAAGGCGGATATATCCATTTAACATACAGTATCTATGTTTATTATAACATTTTCTGCGTGTCAAAATGAAAGACAACCCACACACCTATCAATCATCAAACCTTGGGGTCTTAATTCATTACGTGTTGATTTATATCAACGGGGGAGTACTTCAGGAAAGTCGACAGAGGGGAGGGGGGGGGGGGGCTAGTGGAGTACTTCGTGACCACAGAGTGTGAACGTTGTGATAAATGACATGATGAATTGGAAATGGGGGACCCTGATGTAAACAAGACGAAAGTCTTTCTCTGGTCTGCATCCCCTTAACAATTGTATGTTTTGAGCTGTACTGTACTGTACCCAATATACAAGCTGTTAATAAACTTATCAATCAATCAATCAATCAATCAATCAATCAATCAATCAATCAATCAGGGGCCTCATTTATAAAGGGACATACGCTCAAAAGATGGCGTACGCCAGTTTCTACGCAATGTTTGCGATTTATAAAATACTAACTTGACGGGAAAACGTGCGGTCCTCCACGCAAACTCTGACCCATGCGTACGCACTAAGCACAACAACGGGAGAGACGAGAAACTGCGACACCGTTGGCAGAAGGAAGAATGGAGAGAAATATGTGGAAATAATACCATAAATAAAATGTTACCTCTCATTTATCAGATATGAAGAATTCACTTTCAAACATTGATTAAAACCAATCTTAAAATGATTAAACAAACGCCTGTTTGAGACTCCTCAGTGCACACAAACACATCACCTGGATAAATAAATAAATACGGAAATGTTATTTAAAACCACCTCGAATATGTTGTGTTAATGTTATGAAATGTTTTCTCATACATGATGCGGTAAGCAGAAGGACATAATTACGTCTAAACTGACGCCGTGTTGCATTTCTATAGGTTGTAGATACGAGCATGGTTTTATATACTATCACGTTTAATCGTGTTTTATGCCGTTTGCTAAGACTTGATAAGTCGCTCGTAAAACACAGGAGGTATGGAAGCTAAGAACACCATATGTGGTAAATTGTACAGCTAATATAACACAACACATTAATTTAGTTGTATTTCCTTTAACTGGTGGATATAGAGTTGCTGGGGGGGGGGGGGAGACGCACAGGCTGCAGTGGAGACGCTGCGCACAGCTGATCGACAGCTGGGACACAAACCACCAAATACAAAAACATAATTCAGATCCAGTCGTCATGACTCCACTCCGGAGGGATTCCCCGTTCACTTCTTACAGTCTCTCATCAAGGGGGGGTCTCCTGTCCCCGGTACAAACACACTGCCTGAGGAAGGCTATGTGTATTGTTTTTGTCATTAACTTTTTTCGGGCCATTTATTTATTTATTTTGGTGACGATCCGACCTCCATGCTGCTACTCTGGTTCAAACTGCATCCACCAAACAATATGATTTATCTCCACCTCCCCAAAATAACCAAAATCTGACACGGTGTGAGATGTCTTTTTTAGCTGTTCTGTCGTCATTTCCTGCGACTTTCTTCATAAAGTCAGTCAAAATGAATGAATGGGCGTTTCTTTGACTATTTATAGGCAAATATGGGCGTTACGTGAAGCCCGCAAAAGCTGCACCGCATTTCGAGTCGGTTGTGATTTATAAAGGGAAACCGGCGCAGGACGTGCTGTACGCACTTTCCTCGCCGGTACGCAATGTTTGGTGAATCGGAAAATGTCGGAACATTTCTGTAGGCCTACCTATTTTTTTGGATTTCTACTACGTAAGCAACCTTCCCACGTGAATCCTACGCACGGCGTTATAAATGAGGCCCCAGCTGTTTTAGCGCAGTTCTCCAGTGAAGGGGGGGAGTCTCCCTCCGCAGCCGGTTGGCGTAGTTTTGGCACAATTTCGTTGTACAGACCAACGTTAACAGCAGCCCTGTCTGTGCACACGGAGACCGACTCTGTCGTCCGGTGATCTAACCGCCTTCTGGAAAAGCTTCACAAGTACGTCGGTACGCAAATGCGCTTTGTGACACAAGTGACGGTACGCATTTCAGATTACGCACATAACCTGCTTACTATCCGATGTGTCCCCCTGCCCGATCGGTACTGCGCATGTGCGAGATGGTCCGCCATATTGGACAACTCCGGACGGCAACCCAAGATGGACACTTGACACAGTGGCTTTTAACAAAGCTCAAAAAGAAAACTCGAGAGAGAAATGAGTTATTGTTATCACAACGTGACTTCACTTTTATTTAATAACTTTTTTTATTGGGTTATTTTATTTGGGGTTAAATACATTGTCAGAATAAGTGTGGAATGAATTTAACTTCTGTTAGACAGCCATATGCCATACATTTTTGCACACATTCACAGTAAATATTTATTCAGTATGATGGCTGTCTAACAGAAGTTCAATTCATTCCACACTTATTCTGACAATGTACTTAACCCCAAATAAAATAACCCAATAAAAAGAGTTGTTAAATAATAGTGAAGTCACGTTGTAATAAAAATAACTCATCTCTCTCTCGTTTTATTTTTGAGCTTTGCTAAAAGCCACTGTGTCAATGTTGTCCTACTTGGGTTGCCGTCCGGAGTTGTCCAATATGGCGGACCATCTCGCACATGCACACTGCAGATCGGGCAGAGCTGCAGATCGGGTAGTGACAACATGCACCCCTGTACTACAGCAAAAGTATTCTCCGTTGGGACTTCCTGCAACAACACCACGCCGTTATCTTGATTCTGATTGGCCAGAAGACATTATCAAAGATGTTCTATTGAGAAGACGATCACTACGTGACAAACGTTTTCAAAACAGTTTCTGGTCTTTGGTATTTCCAGACAAGTGGCTGAAATCAATCTGACTAACTGCTGTCTGTGCAATTTACTCCGCGAGTTGGCAGACTTTATTTAGCTTACTTTAACATCATTTTTCATGGTGGGGCTAAGCCATTTCTTGGTATGGCTGTAGCCTACCCCAGCCATACCCTGACGCTGCCACTGGTGGGATGTATGGGGCGGGCCATTCTGCACATGCGTTAAATGCGTTAAATATTTTAAAGCAATTAATTCAAAAAATGTATTACCGCCGTTAAAGCGATAATTTTGACAGCATTAATATATATATATATATGAGCTGCTATCTTCCTCTCTGAACTATAGAGTCAGTCTCTAAGTCCAATTAGTCCGAGCAAAACTCAATGAGCCAATCAAAACAGAGCTGGCCAGCTAACCAATCAGAGCAGACTGGGCTCTGGTTTCAGACAGAGGGTGAAAAGAGGTGCTTGAGAGAGAGATGAAGAGCTTTTTGAACATTAAAGCATGGAGACGTGACCCAGTAGAGACACTACATACTGATATACACCTGAACATCAGCAGGAGAGGACTCTTTAAAGTAGAGACACTACATACTGATATACACCTGAACATCAGCAGGAGAGGACTCTTTAAAGTAGAGACACTACACACTGATATACACCTGAACATCAGCAGGAGAGGACTCTTTAAAGTAGAGACACTACATACTGATATACACCTGAACATCAGCAGGAGAGGACTCTTTAAAGTAGAGACACTACATACTGATATACACCTGAACATCAGCAGGAGAGGACTCTTTAAAGTAGAGACACTACATACTGATATACACCTGAACATCAGCAGGAGAGGACTCTTTAAAGTAGAGACACTACATACTGATATACACCTGAACATCAGCAGGAGAGGACTCTTTAAAGTAGAGACACTACATACTGATATACACCTGAACATCAGCAGGAGAGGACTCTTTAAAGTAGAGACACTACATACTGATATACACCTGAACATCAGCAGGAGAGGACTCTTTAAAGTAGAGACACTACATACTGATATACACCTGAACATCATTTAAATTCACACAACATCCTTAACCCTATGCAATCTGGATTCAGATCAAAGCACAGTACTGTGACTGCCAGTCTGAAAGTCTTAGACGATATTAAGGCTGCTTTGGATAACAAATCTGTATGTGTTGCATTGTTTATTGACCTAGCCAAAGCATTTGACTCTGTAGATCACCACATTATGTCTAATGTTATGTTGATGTCTCGTTTCGGTCATAATGCCATTTGCTGGTTTCAGAGTTATCTAACCGACCGTACTCAATGCGTCAGGTTGGGTAGTACTGTCTCTGAGCCTGTCACCTTGGAGAAGGGAGTTCCACAGGGCTCTATTTTGGGGCACTTGCTCTTTTTATTATATGTAAACAATATTTGTAATCAGATGCAATTTTCTACCTATCATATGTATGCTGATGACACTATTGTATAGTCATGTGCTCCTTCTCTGGATATGGCTGTTTCCAATTTAAAATCTGATGTCATCACGCTGCAGCATGCACTTCTTGATTCCAAACTGCTTTTGAACAGTAAGAAAACCAAAGCAATGCTTTTTGCTCCCAAGTCAGCGTCCTCTTGCCTCTCCATTGACACCCTTGATGTATATCTTGGCTTTTGGTTGGAAAGTAATCTGAACTTCAAACACCATATTGAAGTTCAGACAAAGAAATTGAAATTCACTCTTGGCTTCCTTTACAGACTTAAATTGCCGCATTCACACCGCAGGACTTTCCCTGGTACTTTGGTTCTTTAGTTCCGTTAGTACCAATAATGTCGCGTTCACACCGCCG